TCCTGCATTTTTAATCTTGCAATTTGGTTGCCAAGGTGATCAGTTACTGAACATGTTCACAAGACGCTGCCAGTGTACTTTTGACAAAAGAACCAACATTTACTATGCAAAAGTGAAGAAAAAGTCTATATGTAGGAAATAAAAATAAAGTATTGCAAATGCTGGAAATCTGAAATAAAAGCAGAAAGTATTAGAGAATCCCAACAGATCTGGTAGCATCAATGAAGGGAGAAACAAAATTAACATTTCCAGTCTGACATGACCTTTATAGAACTTGAAACTGTGGACTCACAAGGTTAACTCTGTTTCCTCTCCACAAATGCGACCAAACGTGTCGAGACTCTCCAGCATTTTCTGTTTTTGTTTCAACAATATTATCATCAGGTAGATTCTCTTGTCATTTAGCTTAAGTCACATGACATCTTAGAAATGCTTTTTTTGACCCACTGCTTAAAAAAAATGAGTTTGTAATCCTTAAACAAAAGTCACCTTCATAGAACTGATACCCAAAAACACATTGACATTTAGTTTAGAACCCAAATTCCCCAATCATAATGATATGTTATAAACGTTCATCAAACTCATGTGGCAAAAATGTTATTTGCCACTTATCAGCCTAAACCTAGGCATATCCAGGTCTTGTGGCATTTGGACATGGACTGCTTCAGGATCTGAGGAGTCACGATTGGTGCTGAACATTGTACAATCATCAGCGATAATCCCCACTTCTGGCCTTACCTGGAGGGATGGTCATTGATGAAGCAACTAAAGGTAGCTAATCAGAACACTGGTGCAGAGATGTCCTGGAGCTGTGATGGTCGACCTCCAACAAGCACCACCATCTTCCTTTGTGCCAGGTATTACTCTAAACAGAGATCTTTCCGCCTGAGTCACATTGGCTAATTTCAAACAACCTAACCTATAAAATACTTTTACCATGTTGAACACCTTGAACAGATCCTAAATTGACGGGATTAGTAGTCCAATGTTTACCTAATTTGTCTTTATAACTGAATATTTTAAACTCTGTTCCCATACTCAACACTCCACACCAAGACCACTGTGTCTAGCCTGAAATTTGTCAACCTAAACTGAATGTCACACTGTGAATGGGGATTAACCAAGGGTGTGCACAACTGACATGTCAGATCCTCAATTTTGTATTCCATTGCCTTGAAGTAATGACCAAACGTTGAGGTAAAAGAGAGTTTTGTGATGGTCAAATCACTTTGCAGCAACCCTATTCTGCTACATAGTGCCTACATAGTCACGCTCCTTTACTAATGTAGACCGGAGAGGACAGTCCTCTACATTTGATAACTGACAAATTGTGGGAGTGCTTGAAGTTCTCCAGCAATGAAAATCATAACTTCAATAAACAGAATTGCCTCTCAGCTCCCTGGAATCTAGCGATTCATTGTGACATGAGTGAAAAAATGAAATTATTCTTTAAAAATGTAAGATTGAGAATTAAATTAAAAAAACAAGGCGCAACAATTAAATCAAAATGCACAGGACCAGGGAAGTCCATTTAAGTCACTCTTACCAATGCGCTGTCCTATTAAAGGCTCCTCATTTGTGTGTGGGTCAATATTATGCAGACTAGTCACACATAGCCTGTGGTGAGGATGGAATGTGCTGCCTTCCTGTGTAACTGTAATAAGCACTGAGGAAGAGCCTGCTGTTTGTGTTTAAGAATCACACTAACTCTACAGTTTAGAAAGTAAGTTTACACTGTGAAGAGCTGCCTCTAGCACAGCCTGAAAGGGCTCATTCTTCCTATGGCATTCTGAGCCCTACAACTGTTATGAAAGTGTACATTTTACTCAGACCCAACTGTGTTATCTGTGTATTTATGGGTTTGTGTGAGTGAGGGTGATGGAGGGGGTAAGAGAGGGGATAAAGGACTGATGTATGACAGTGGAGTGAACCTGCCAATCAGTGCCACTAATCTGCGCAAACAGCAGGATTGGATTTATTAATCTTCAATTAATAAGCTAAACAGTAACAAACTCTCACTGAAGGAAATGTCTAATTTGATCCTTCAGTTTGTTTTGCTGCATCTCAATGAGTTTTTCCATCTAATTCAGAGCTTTATAAATTGGTTTTCATCATGACCCCATTTTGGTGCTCAAAAGGTCTTGAGATCCAGGACCTGTGAGGTTGGGGGCTATGTCTCTGAGCACGCAGTAGGTGGGATTCATTTGGAAGGGGCAAGGTGAGAGACCTGTGAGAGCATTCTAATTCACAGAGCTTTTAAATGAAAAGCATCTGAGCTCTCAGTTAGGCTTTTTAGTACAGAATTCAGGCCCACGAGATTGGGCAGTTTAAAAAAACTGTGAAGTTTAAAGAGCCTGGCAGCTGTCAGCTCTTGGTTGTAGCCCCAGGCAGTTGTTGCTGCATAGGAGCCCGTAAGTCCCCTAGGGGTCACATCCCTCAGTTTGGGAAATCCTTATCTGATCTATGCATCACATTGAAGTCAGTGCCTTGGCTCGGTGGGGAGCACTTTCAACTCTTTGTCACATGGCTGTGGATTCCAATTCCCAGCCATGAACACGCACTTAGATTGGATAAAGGCAAGGTATTGCATTTTGGTAAAACAAAAAATGGCAGGATTTATATAATTCATGATGGGGCCCTGTGTAGTGTTGTAGAATAGAGAGACCTAGGCGTTCAGGTACATAATTTTGAAGAAATTTGCATCATGTGTAGACAAGGTGGTTAAGAAGGTGTTTAGCATGCTTGCCTGCATTGCTCAGATCTTTGCGTATAGGAGTTGGGACATTATGTTAAGGTATAGGACGTTGGTGAGACCTCTTCTGGCATAGTGTACAGTTCTGGTTGCCCTGCTATAGGACGGATGGTATTAAATTGGAGAAGGTTCAGAAAAGATTTACCAGGATGTTTCCGGGAATGGAAAGTTTGAGTTATAATGACAGGCTGAGACTTTTTTTCACTGAAATGCAGGATAATGAGGGGGGACCTTAAAGAGGTTTATACTATCATGAGGGGCATAGATAAGGTGAATAGCAAGGATCTTTTCCCTAGGGTGGGGGATTTTAATACTAGGGGCCATATTTTTATGGAAGGGCATCTGTTTTATACAGAGTGTGGATCATCTGTGGAATGAACTGCAGGAAGAAGTAGTGGATGCAAGTACAGTTACAACATTTAAAAAATATTTGGATAAGTACATGAATAGGAGAGTTTTGAGGCATATGGTCCAAGTGCAGGCAAGTGGGACTAGTTTGGTTTGGGAACGTGATCAACATGAACTAGTTGGACTGAAGGGTCTGTTTCTATGCTGTATGATTCTATGACACTTGAGTGTAGTACCAAGGCAGTGCTGCGCTCTTAGAGATGCCAATAGTTTGGATGTGATGTTAAACCAAAACCTTGTCTGGCCTTGCAGGAGTATGCATTTTTTTAAAGAAAGACGAAGAAGTGTAGCCCAGTGTCCATGAATCCCCTAACCTCTAATATATCTAAACAGTCTGTGTAACAGAAAGCACATTAGACTGTCTCTGAAAATAAGGATCACTCTAAAGAACAAATTGTGATTTTTAAAATGTCCTGATTATAACTTAGCGCTCTGACACCAGGTTGGATAATGTGCTGCTTTGAAAGGCCCACAGCTTCATAGCCTATGAGCCTGCTGCAAGAATGTAACTCTGTGTTAGTTGATGATGACACAGTCTAATTGTCATGCAGTAAACATTGAGTGAGTTCATTCACAGGTCATTAAATAGATTGCAGACGTTCTGGCTCTGGTATTCCTGAGTTGTGGAGTTATATATAAATAAATATTCACTCCACCAACAGTCCCTTCTCAGCAATACAACCTTTTACAGAGAGACAGTAATTATACTTAAATTTGGTCTTTACCTGTCATCTAAAATTACTGCTTATGGAGCGAGAAATGAAAGCACCAATTAGTGAAAAAGTCCTTGGAAAGAGCTGAATGTCTGTGACAAATTAATCAGACAGTTTTACTATTTTCCTTCATACCCCTGAGTGTATCACAGCTGCAAGCCCAGGATTATTACAGGGTGCAATTTGAGGTTTTTCTTCATCTGAGTAATTAATCACAAATGGATTAGAAGCCCCAGCAGGATCTAATACAGAAGCCTTCTTAACATGTTGGAAGATTAACAGCTGAATTTGGACTGTTTTCACTGGCATGAGGGATGTGGCAAAGACGAACCTGCTTCTCACTAATGAGGCTGAATCAGTATTGAAGCCATTGAAATTTTGACTCCATGCTTTTGATTTAACAGACTCTCATTGAGAGAAACTGCTTTACTTTGCTCAACACCCACATTCTCACCTTGCTATTGCTGTTTGGAACTTTTCTGTTCTTTCAAGTATTCCATCTCATTCCCTTCCCTCACCTTCCTTACATTCATGTGAAGTGAGGTCATGGCACAGCATCCTATCAATTTGTGCAGGCCCGACTCTCTCATCATCTCCACCCTCTGCCGATCTCCAGACTTTTCAAATGCATGTTTCATGGCACTGACTATTTCTTCTTGATCTAGCTGCTCAATTTTTCTGTCATAAAAATATCAGACCCTGCATTCACCCTCAGTTTACATTGACGTTTGAGAGTGGCCGAGTTACAAGAAGAAACTACTTAAATCAATAAAGGCTTCACATTCACTAACTATCAGTCTTAGGTTTACAATAAATATAGGTGCAGGTCCTGCTGTGACAGCCCCTCCCTAAGTTACAGGTCTGACTGTGAGGCCCACTCCTTGTGTGTAAGATCTTATGTAAGATCGCTTTGGTGTTTTACATCTCTATCCATTTTCATTAATGTTGGTGACAACGGATAAAAAAGCATGAAGAGATAAAAAGAGGGAAACTTTCACCTGTTTTGAAGCACTTCACAAACCAACATCTTGCATAATACATTTTGCTTTCAGCAATCTGTCCTCAGCCTGCTCTGTACTTGTGGTTATGTTTTATGTATTCAGTAAATATTTTCTTTTCTTTTCCAGGGTCAGGTGGGCTTTCCTGGGACTCCTGGACCACCAGTGAGTATGGCTCTGATCATTATATAGCTTGCAACTCTGTTTGTATCGGTCCTGGGATTTTCACTTTCTGCAAGATTACTAAATATTTTGTCCATTATTTGTCCATTTGGTCAGATTGCTGATCTATCAAGAAATATATGCAAATGAATTTCTGTCAGGACAATAAATTGAAAGTGAAAATTGAAATGGAAATTAAATTAATGACTCTTTTGTATCTGGTTTATTTTTAGGGGGCTGGAACCATGGGACCACGTGTAAGTGTAACAGATTGATAGAAATATTAATTATTATCAGATGTGAGAAGGTTGTAATGTTTGTACATGTTTTAGTTGGGTGTGAGTTATAAAGTTTCCAACTCATGTTACAAGGGAAGTGAGTGTTAGACATTTCACTGTTGAATTTTTTTTTCATTTCCATTTTGTGTCAATGATCAGGAAGTTGAGGCAGATTCGATAGTAACTTTCAGAAGGAAATGGGATATACATTTGATAAGGGACAAAATTATAGGGCTATAGAGAAGGGGTAGGACAAAATTAATTCAACCCTTGCATTTGGTAGATTCCATTATAATTAGACCTGTTTGGATTGTGCATGAAAATTGTGATCTATTCTGACATAAAGTGCCAACCTGGAACATTTTTACATATTGGAAGAGCCTGTCATTAGAAGCTTGCTGGTACTTTGGGCACGCAGTGGTATGACCCTTTCAAATCAGACAGAATCAAACACAAAATTATGGTTAGCCAACCTTCATTAGAGGGGCACCAGGCAGAGTAGACAACTAAATTATATCTAGTTAGAGTTTTAAAAGTTCTTCATGAGGATACCAGACAATAGGCTCATGACAAAAACCAGGTGGAGCCAGGGGGCAAATACTTGAGTAGATAGCAAGTTGTCTAAAAATTAAAGGGTAGAAAGTAAGGTTAAAGGTTCAGATTGAAAGGATAGAAGATCGCATTCACAGTTGTCAGTGCTAGTGTTATTGTAATGCATAATTTACTTTGAATTACTGGTTATTAAGTAGAAATAATTAATGTCAAAGATGAAACCAAACTGGGATTTATAGCTATTTCCAAAAAAGGTTGAGTCTTTATGTGAGACAACTGAGCAGCTAAGTGGGAAACTAGTTTAACAGATACACATGAGCTGAAGCACTTTGATGGGAAAGATGGGAATATCACCCAAAGCATTGAAACTGAAAAAGTGAATGGGATACAAGAGTAAAGGAAGCTAGGGATAAAGGGAAACAAATCATTAAGAGTCACAGGTCCAAAAAGCAATGATAATGTTAACACAGTGGTGAAGTTTATTTCTCAGAGTTTAGATTTCATAAGTTGTGAAATTGTGTTAAATTGTGTTGTATAGGCCTCTAGTCATCTTGCACTTAACGTAGTATGTGGATCTAGTCTGCCGCTTGATGCCTTCAAATTTATGGATGGTTGAGCTGGTTAAATGTGGAGAAAATGCTCCCAAAAATAGGAGAACTCAAAATATTGAAAACATTGTATAAGCTTTCCACTGATCTTTCACCAAATGTTCCTTTTGGAAGGTTTGCTCATGGAGGCAAAAACAGAAAATGCTGGAGAAACTCAGCTGTGGAAACATTTCAAGTTTATGTTTCAAGTCGGACATGACTTCTACAGATCGGTTCAGTGCAGTTTACCTGTGATACTAACGTAAACTTGTTTAATTACTTTAAGGGTCCTCCTGGTCCAGTTGGTCTTCCTGGAGAAATTGGCCGTCCTGGAGCTAAAGTGAGTGATAATTGAATATCAAGCAGTATACTGCTTCTGTTAACTGTTTCACTTTACTCAAAGTCATATTGCTCTAATTGGTAGCTAGAAAGTGTAGCATTCTTCTTATCCTAATATGTTATATTCAAAAAGTCCATGTATTAAGGATGGAACTGGAGCTAATCCGCAATGATTTCCTGAGATACACAGTACAAAGACACACCATCTAACACAACAAAGAACGGTTTCAAGGTGTAGAGTTGGATGAACACAGCAGGCTGTGTTCATCCAGCTCTACACCTTGTTATCTCAGATTCTCCAGCATCTGCAGTTCCTACTATCTCTGAAAAAACGGTTTCACTCTATTCTTGCTTATCTCACTTATTCATCCAAATGAATCCCTGCTTAATGCCCATCACCTCCATAGAATTTACTACTATTCCATCATGGTGACTCACTTTCACTCTCAGGGTGAGTCCATAGATGGCTGTACAGATTGATGCGGCTGTCGCAGGCTCTGTTACACGTGGGCAGTTGTTGGTCACGAGAAGGGATGGCTGGGATGTTGATGTGGCAGCATGCTCCTTTCTCTGTTTTTGCCTGGCTTCCATTTTTTCTAATGGCAAGTCTCGTGGTGATTAATGCCTTCCTGGATGCTCTTCTTCCACTGTGGACAGTCTTGAGCCAGTGATTCCCAGGTGTTTGTGGGAATGCTGCACTTCACTAGTGAGGCCTGAAGGTATCATTGTCCACCTGGGGCTCGCCTGATATTTCAAAACTGGGAGTGGAGCATCTGCCTGGGGAGCTTCATGTCAGTCATGTGGACAACGTGCCCAGCCCATCGTAGCTGACCGAGGGTGGTCAGTGCCTCAATGCTGGGGATGTTGGCCTGGTCAAGGATGCTGGTGTTGTTACATCTTTCTTCCCAGCAGATTCACAGGATCTGCGTAGGCAGCGTTGTTGGCACTGCTCCTGTAGACAGTCCATGTCCATAACTAAGATACAATTAACACACGCTACTGACATTATTTTTGTAATTTACCCTTGTGCCATGGACACTGATGTCATGGCATTGGAGATTGGACTTAATTGTCCATGAAGAATTGATTCTGGAACTTTGCAAGGCAGGAGCACCTATTGGGAATCAGGTGTGGAGATCAATCATCTGAGTTCAGGCACCATAGGCTCAGGCTTTCCCTTCCTTCTAACCTGATTAGCCTAAAAGTGACATCCTGAATTTTCCCTGGTTTTTGGGACTAACCTGCTGATGTAGGATCCTGCAAAACTCAATCAGCACAGCCAACCACAGAGACATCTGTGGAGGGAATCATATAGACGCCATACCCACTTTTTACTACACCAGCAGCCATGTCTCAGTAAATGTTCACAAACAGACTGAAAAGCTTTGAGACACTTAAACACTTTTCAATGTGTTAATGAATGAGTGTAGTTGAGTGAATGGATTAATAGATAGTTGTATAAACTTCAGTATGTGCATGAGGGGCTAGAATGACTGTGGTAAGGGAGAGAGGGAAATAGGGTCAGTGAGTGAGAGGATACAGTGGGTGTGGTCAGTGGGTGGGGAGGTAGGATGGATGGGGTCAGTGGGTGAAGGGATGGGAGGATGGGTGTGGTCAGTGGGTGAGGGGATAATGTGGATGTGGTCAGTGGGTGAGGGATAGTGTGGCTGAGCTAAGTGGGTGAAATAGTGAGGTAAGTGGTAGGTTGGCAGGTGAGCAGGACGTCGAGTCGGAACAATTCACTCTGGGGTTGGGAGGTGTTTGGACGGTTCGAGGGGTAATTGGAGGAATGGAGGGGGAGCTGGAGGTTCAAGAGGGGAACCAGGACGTCAACATCAGTGATGGGGATTGGGCTGCCAGTTGTATAGTTATCCAAGACTTAGTTTAAGAATTTCCTGCCCAATATTTCCTATCAACTAAGCCAGATGGAGCTGTCCGAAATATCGAACAGACTTTTTTCAGAGGATCCTGGGAGCAGGGGATGTTCAAGCTTCCCAAGCAATTCCCATGGAGTGAGAGTGTCAGGACCTCAGTGCGATATCCTGGTCATACATCCTTTGTCAAACTCAGAGACTGGACAGTCTGGCCCATAGCTTTCCATTTATTGTTACAATTCCTATTATGCAGATCAATCGATCCATGTGCCTAAATTCTCATTTGTGCTCCTGTTGTACAGCATTCTGAGCTGACAGTACTCAATTATAGTGTGCATTCCTTTGCCTTTGTGCTTTACTGTTTCCATTTTTTAGTCTATGCTGGTCTGGAGGCTGCTATAAATGAATCCACAAGTGCGGCCCAGGTTAATTTGGGCTCCAGATTTCAGTTTTCTGAGCTGTGGGTGTATTTGGATCCACTGTGGCATTAGGAGTTGGAGATGGTACAGTGATGTATCCTGGTCCCAACATACTGTTCCAGGTCATATCAGGAACTAAATAATCAGAGGTATCTGTATTCACTTATTCACTTATCTAATCCCCTACTCTGTCCAATCCCCTGTTCACTATCCAATCTTCCATTCTGTGCCCAATCCTCTATTGTCCACCCAAATCCTCTATTCTCTGCCCAAATCCTCTATTCTCTGCCCAAATCCTCTATTCTCTGCCCAATGCTGTCTTTTCTACCGAATTCTCTATTGTCTACCCCAATCCCCTATTCTCGATCCAATCCCCTGTTCACTATTCAATCTTCCATTCTCTGCCCAACCCTGTATTCACTGTCCTATATTCACTTTTCAAATCTCTGTTTACTATCAAACCCTCTGTTCATTCTCCAATCATGTGTTTGCTAACTAATTCTTTATTCATTACCCAAGGTTTTTTCGCTGTCCAATCCTCTATTCTCTATCCAATAATCTACTCACTATCCAATCTTTTATTCTCGGTTAAATCATCTTTTTACTATCCAATCCTGTATTCACGATCCAATCCCTGCTCACTATTCAATCCTCTATTCACTATCTAATCTCTGCTCACTATCTACCCTCTATTCACTATCCAATCCCCTGTTCACTATCCCACCCTCTTTTCTCTATCAAATCTCCTACAGTCTATCCAATCCCATGTTCTCTATCCAATCTCCATTCACTATACAATCCTCTATTCACTATCCTATCCTTCATTTACTATCCAATAATCTATACAATATTTTATTCTTTTTTTCAATCCTGTTTTTACTATCTGATCCCCTGCTCCCTCTATCCAATCCCCTGCTCCCTCTATCCGATCCCCTATTCATTAACAAACCTCTGTTCGTTCTCTAATCCACTGCTTATTAACTAATCCTAACTACGCAGTCCTCTATTCACTACCTAACTCTCTATTCACTACCAAATCCTGTATTTATGATTCACTGTATTCACTTTCTAATTCACTGATTGGAGATAGACACTCTTTTCTGCTGGTCATGTGGGCTGCAAACAAGAGACAGCTGTTTTTGCCAATTTGGCCAAAAGCATCTCTCGGAAAGACCACTCAGGTTTCAGAAATCAGAATATTTACCTTTCATCAGACTGCCTAAATGGGACACATTCTACTGATGAAAAGACAAGCTTTCCACCAAGTGACGGTTGCTGACTAATTTCCACCATCAGTTATGTTTTCTATACTCCTCAGTTCAAGTTAAAACATGTCCTGACCTTTCATATTTCTCTTTAGATCCGTGACCCCCTCAACCATGTCTTTAATGCACAATTTCCAATCACTTAATCCCCTTCATAGAATCCATACAATGTGGAAACAAGCCATTCGGCCCAAAAAGTCCACACCAACTCATGCTCTCCCTGTAACTCTACATTTCCCATGGCTAAACTACCTATCCTACACATCGCTGGACACTAGGGGCAATTAAGCATGGCTGAACCACCTAACCTGCACATCTTTAGACTGTGGAAGGAAACTGGAGCACTCGGCAGAAACTCATGGAGACACGGGGCGAATGTTCAAACTCCACACAGACAGTTGCCCAAGGATGGAATTGAAGCCAGGTCCCTGGAGCTGTGAGGCAGCAGTCCTAACCACTTGGTCACTGTGCTGTCCCTTCCTCTGATGAGTGCCAAAAGCTGTGCACAGTATTCCACTTGATGTTGAATGGAGGTCCTGTATGTTTAATATTGCGTACAGGGTTTATCATGTATCACTCTAGACATAAAACTGAGTCCTCAGTGCCCTTTTTAATTCATTCATGATAATTGGATGTTGCTAGTTAATGACTCTTTTGTCTTTGGGAAGTTGATACTGAGCTACTTTCTTGAAGTGCTGCAGTCCGAAGGGTGTAGCTACACCTTCGGTGCTATTAAGGAATGAGTTCCAGGATTTTGACAAAACAATAGTTACAGAGTCATAGAGTCATTGGGATCAACAGCACAAAAAAAGACCCTTCAGCCCATAGTGTCAGCGCTGGTCAAAAACAACTACCTAACTATTCTAATCCAATTTCCAACATTTGGCCCATAGTCTTGTATGAATTCCCATTGCAAGTACACAATTTTTTTTGTTTATTCATTCACGGGATGACGGTGTTGCTGGCTAAGCAGCATTTATTGCCCATCCCTAATTGCCCAGAGGGCAGTTAAGAGTCAGCCACATCGCCATGGGTCTGGAGTCACATGTAGGCCAAACCAGGTAAGGATGCCAGTTTTCTTCCCTAATGGACATTAGTGAACCAGGTGGGTTTTTCCTGACAATTGACAATGGATTCATGGTCATCATTAGATTCTTAATTCCAGGTATTTATTGAATTCAAATTCCACCATCTGCCATGGTGGGATTCGAAACCGGGTCCCCATAACATTATCTGGGTCTCTGGATTAACAGCCCAGCTATAATTCCACTAGGCCATCGCCTCCCCTACTTCTTAAATGTTATGAGGATTTGTGCCTCCACCATCCTTACAGGCAGTGAGTTCCAGATTCTGACCACACTTTGGGTGAAAAAGCTTTTCCTCATCTTCAAACTTTCTGCCCTTCAATCTATGCTCTCTTCTCATTGATCCCTCCATCAAGGGAGAAGAGTTTCTTCCTGTCTACCCTATCTATGCCCCTCATAATTTTGTACATCTCAGTCATGTCCCCTCGCTGTTTTCCTCGGAGCAGAGGAGACTATCTCAATTTATCCAATCTCTCTTCATAACTAAAACTCTTCAGCCCAGGCAGCATCTTGGTAAATCTGCTCTGTACTGTCTCCGGTGCTATCACTTCTGTAACGTGGATTCCAGAATTGCAAACAATTCTCTACAGCTGTGGTCTAACCAATATTTTATACCATTCCAGCATAACTTCTCTGGTCTTAAATTCTATGCCTTGACTAATAAAGGCAAATGCGCGTTATGTCCTCTCAACCACATTATCACCTTTCCTGATGCGTTAAGGGACCAGTGCACATGCACACCAAGGTCCCTCTGATCCTTTGTGCTTCCCAGGGTCCAAACGTTCATCGTGTATTCTCTTGTTTGTCCTGCCCAAGTGCATCACCTCACACTTATCTGAATTGAATTCCATTTGCCACTGACCAGCTGTCTATATCCTTTGTAGTTTAAGGCTATGCTCCTCACTATTTACCACCCAACAATTTTTGTATCGTCTGTGTATTTATTGATCAAGCCTCCTGCATCCAAGCCTAAATCATTTATATAAACCACAAACAGCAAGGACTCCAACACTGACCCCTGTGAGACCCCAGTGTACACATACTTCCAGTCAGAAAAACACCCCTCAACGATCACCTTCTACTTTCTGCCACTCAGCCAATTCGGGATTCAATTTGCTAAATTTCCTTGAATTCCATGAGTTCTTACCTTTGCTATTAATCTCCCATGTAGGATCTTAGCAAAAGCCTTGCTGAAGTCCAAATGAAGGAATGATGATATCGTTCCAAGTTAGAATGCTGTGTAGCTGTGAAGGGAAGTTGCAGGTAGCAGTTTCCCATGTATCAGTTGCGCATGTTTGTCTAGATGCTAGAGCTGACAGGTTTGGAAGGTGCAGTCTGAGGAGTTTTGAAGGGTTGCTGCAGCACACCTTGTAATGGTACACACTGCTGCTACTGTGCACTGGCAGTGAAGGTTATGAATGTCGATGGTGGCGAATGGGGTATTGGTCAAGCAGGCTGCTTTGTCCCAGAGGGTATTGAGCTTCATGAACTAATGCTGTGCTCATCCAGGCCAGTGGAGACTATTTTGTATTTTATCACATAGTATTTATATGGCTTGTCCAGTTCAGTTTCTGATCATGATAGCCCCCAGAATGTTAATGGTGAAGGATTCAGGGATGGTACTGAATGGCATGGGGAGATTGTTAGAGATTCTTGTTGTTGGAGCTGATCATGGCCTGTCACTTGTTTGGCTTGAATATTACTTCCAAGCTTGAATATTACAGCCCAAGCCTGAATGTTGTCCAGGTCTTGCTTCATGCAGGATATGGGTTGATTCATTATCTTCAGTTGGCTTTTTATGGCTTCATTTCTTTTATTGCACATTTCTCTACCTGTTTTCTACCTGTCACTCATGAGCAGTCTCTTTCACAGCATCGAACTTGCACTCTTGAGGTTGTGGAAGGTACTTCTATAAATGCAAGTCTTCCCCTTTTCTTTGTATTTCACTTTGGTAGATCATATTATTCTGCTCTCCCTTCATCTTTGATTAAACATTAATTTCCTGAAACCACCCTCAGGATACAATTTTTTGATTCCTTTCCTTTCCTACCATTTCCAACACGCCTCTGTTGTACATTGACCAACTGTTGACTGTGCCAAACCATTTCCCTCGTCCATACAGCAGACGATTTCACCCTTCCTCTCATACACCGTATCTTTTCCACTACTGTCCACCACCACCGCTCAACTACGAAACTACACACTCCGCAATTTCATTCCACCGCAATTTTCCACTGTACCAGATTAATTATTGTTAGTGAACTGACCATTTGTTTCCAGTTAAGGTCTAGTTGTGCTGCTACAATTCATGAACTAATTTATTTTGAAGGGTGCAGCAGGACGGCTTGGAGCAATTGGGCAGCCAGGACCACCAGGTCAACAGGTATGCCAGCATGTTTCCAAGTTTATCTTTGCAAGTTACACTTTATTTTGTGAACATAATAGCTTATTATCTGACATGAAGGTATTTGATGTCTTTCGGTAATTTTCTCCTGTGTCCTGCAGGAAAAAATATGGCTTTCTGAGAGATACTGTTTGTACACAAAATGTCTGTATTCGGGTGCTTAGTTTAACTGATGAGTTATAAGATAGAATAAACTACAATCCACCGGCCAAAATGTAACCTAAAAATTCACATGGTTTAATTATAGACTCTCAGAACCTTCAAAATGAGTTACAGGTGGAATATAATTGAGTAGTGTGAATGGTTTATGTTCAGAATAACAGATACCCAAGCATTGAGTTGCAGGCACTCCTAATCACAAACAGTGACCCACCTTTCAGCCTGAAAGGATGCAAATCCTATCGTTAGAATAGATTGATGGTGATGGGGTTCAAGTCCATAGCTCCCTGAAAATGGAAATACAAGTAGATAGGTGGTAAAGAAGGCATATGGCATGCTTGCCTTTATTGATCGGGGAATTGAGTACAAGAGTCAGGATGTCATGTTGCAGCTTTGTAAGACTTTGGTTAGACTGCACTTAGAGTATTGTGTTCAGTTACGGTCGCCACATTACCAGGAGAATGTGGAGGCTTTGGAGAGTGTACAGAAGAGGTTTACCAGAATGCTGCCTGGATTAGTGGGTATGATCTATAAGGAGAGGCTAGAAAAACTCGGGTTGTTTTCTCTGGAGCGGTGGAGGCTGAGGGGAGACTCCATAGAAGTCTATAAAATATTGAGATACATAGATAGGGTTGATGGTCAGAATCTTTTTCCCAGAGTTGAAATGTCTAGTCCTAGGGGGCATGCATTTAAGGTTAGAGGAGAAAAGTTCAAAGGAAATGTGAGGGGCACGTTTTTGCATTTAAGGGACTTTTAGATAAGCACATGAATATGCAAGGAATGGAGGGATATGGATCAATGGCAGGCAGAAGGAATTAGTTTTATTTGGCATCATGTTCAGCACAACATTGTGGGCCAAAGGGCCCGTTCCTGTACTGTACAGTTCTATGTTCTATAATGGTTATGTGCTCTGTTTGTACAGGGGCTTCCTGGTAACCTCCATGGTGCAGAGGGCAGTGCGGACCTCCTGGTAAGAATGACCAATTCAATGTTTCATTGTTGTATTATACTCTTAATTCAAAATTTAAAGTGGGCCCACTCTGATCCAGTTTAATGTTGTCCTGTCGTCAGGACGCAAGTGTCAACAACCAGTGCTCGTGAAATTGCCGAGACATTCAGTTCATGAAGTAATAACAGAACTTACTGCCTGAGACGAGGGAATGCAAATCTGAAGAACCAATGCATTTTCACCAAAAAAATGCCATCGAATCCTTAAAATTCTGAAAGAATGAAACAGGACAAATAGGAACAATCACTTTGCAATAGCCAGCGAGAGCGGGCCATAGGTGTAGGGTAAATGTAAGAGATTTGGAACATAGGGCAGCCTGAGAAAGATCATCATATAGAGAATTGAGAGAATGTGTAAATCACTTGCAGAGTTGGTGACTGGGACAGAAACTATGTTAATGTCCAGGATTGACTTGTACAGGTGGATTAAGAATAAAGAGATGTTGAGTATTGATAATCTGGTGGGCAGATGATTGTGTGCAGGATAAAACTGATGAAGGCAGAAGGGTTGTAACTTCCAGGGTGAAGTAACAGTTCTGTGCAGCACTGTGTGCAGCTCATTTCCTCTGGTCTCTGGAGGTGTAATTTGATAGCTTTGAATTCTGGGACTGTCCCTCAGAACTGTAATGTATCAAGCTACTACACAAAGCAGTGCGTCATTTTTCAGCATGACTGTTCTGACTTTTGTCCCCGAAATGCACATTCCCTTCTCATATTGGGACTTTACCTCTCTTTGTTGCCCTGGTGTTCACCAGGGAAGGGTCTCTCCAAACTCCTGCAAGTGCACTGGGCTGGGTTGTTTCATATCTTCCCGGTTAAATTTGCAATTGTGTTGTTGACTGGGCATCTTGGGGCTTGCACTTTCCCCTCATTAGATTGGAGATTGGGTAATTGAAGAGTCCTGTTGCAGGTCTTAATGATATGTGGTAGGTAATTCATGATTTGAGCCTAGAAACGGTTGATTTTTAAAAATTCATTCACGGGATGAGGATGTGTACTGTCTAGGTGTCTGAATTCATAGACAATGCCTTCAGCTTCAGACCTCACAGTGTCTGACTTTGTGCTCATTCCCAGTACCATTACATAGTTTGTGACTCACCATGATTCTGCCAGGCAAACTGATGTTGATGTGGGAAATCTGTTGTGCTCTGACTACTCATGGGGACAACCTGCTGACATAGGTGTAATCTGCTGGTGGACATAAAGATCAGTTACGAAAAGAGCCTCAGAGCTTCTTATTGAAGAACTGATCAGAACCACAGCATTGGTTGCCTGCAGGTAAAGGCCACGTGTACACTGATGCATAAGGAGGGGAGGATAAATAGAAAAGAATGCGGTCTGTTTGTATTTTATGATAAATGACAAAATGAACCAGAGAGGAGAATTGTTGTAGTGATCTGGAATATACTTGCTGAAAGAATGGTGGGGGCTGATTCATTAGTGACTGCCAAACAGGAATTGGATATTTATGTGAAAATGAAAACTCTTAGAGATCGATGGGAAAAGAGGAAGTTCAGTAGATTCATTAGAAAACACTTTCAAAGAATTGGCACAGACCCAAAGAATTGAATGGCCTTCTTCCCTGCTGTGTAATTTGATAACACTTGGTATTTTGTAGTCCCCTCTGTCTTGACATGTCAGATCTGCCACCTTCATGCTTCGATCTCTCTGCTGTGCCAGATAATCTCAGCTAGGATGGCTGGGCATTTACAAATGGCTCTTAGGGTCTGGGACTTGGATATGAAAGATACATTTAGGATCAGAGTGCTTGATTGTGTCCTTGTGATGTGGAGTCTACTGTGGCACCTCCAGAGTGCTCATTGTCAGGCTCCTTTGGAAAGAACGGGCTCCCAGTACTTGTGAGCTGGAGGACTGTCATCATCACTCACTACGCCCAGGAAAGAGTGGGACTGAGAAAGAGTGCAGTCTAGCTGTAGACCAAGATCTTGAAAGTGTGATTCATTGGGTAAACAGAGGGTCAGAGCAGGGGCTCTTGGGGAATGGGAATGAAGAACAAGCTAAGTGAGAGCGAGGCGCAGGATG